TGCCAACCTCTTCCTCAGGAACCCGGGGGTTCCCCCCCCCCCTCCGAAAATCCCCCCCTTCTCCTGCTGGACCCCCCCCCCCTCCCCCGGCAAAACCCCCCCTCCCCCCCTCCCCCCCCCCTCCCCCGAAAACCGGGGGGGGTCACTACCTGTTCGAACCCCCTCCCCCCCCCCCCCCCCTCCGGATACGGGGGGGGTCACTACCGGTTCGAACCCCCCTCCCCCCTCGAACACCGGAGGGGGGTCACTACCGGTTCGACCCCCCCCCCCACGCACCGCCAGCAAACGACTCCCGGTCCCTACCACCGTCCGTCCGCATCACATCCCCCACTGCTGTTCCCAGCACCACTGTCCTCACCACCACTGTCCCCACTGGTTCCACCACCGTCCCTACTGTCCCCACCAGTGCCCCCACCACTGTCGCACTGTCCCCACTGTCCCCACCACTGTTCCCACCACGGTTCCACTCTCCCCACTGTCTCCACGGCCACAACCACTGCCCGACTATCCCCACTGTCCCCACTGTCCCACTGACTCCTCCGCTGTCCCACTGAGCTGTCCCACTGTTCCCACCACTGTCCCCACTGTCCCCACCACTGTCCCCACTGTACCTCTGTCCCATTGTCCCACCGCCGTCCTCGCCACCGCCTTCACCACTGTCCCCACCACCATTGTACCCTCCACTGTCCCACTGTTTCCACCTCATTCCCACTGTCCCCACACCACTGTCCCCACCACCACCGTCCCCACCACTGTCCACTGTCCCCCCTGTTCCCACCATTGTCCCCACCACTGTCCCCACCACTACCGTCCCCACCACTGTCCCACTGTCCCACTGTCCCCACCACTGTCCCGCTGTCCCCTCACCACTGTCCCCACCAACACCGTCCCCACCACTGTCCGCACCCCCACTCGGTTTTCGAGGGGGGGGGGGGGTTCGAACTGGTAGTGACCCCCCCCCTTTTCATGATGAACGGGGGGGGGGGGAGGGGTTCGAACCGGTAGTGACACCCCCCCGGTTTTCCGGAGGGGGGGGGGGGAGGGGTTCGAACCGGTAGTGACCCCCCCCGGTTTTCCGCCAGCAGCGGTAGAACACGCTCTTTCTCATCTGGTGGAGGTCGGGGACGAGGGAGGGGCGAACCGTGGCTTGGTTTGGCCGCGGCAGGGACGCTTGTGCTCGCTATATGGAGTAGCCGCGCCGCACTGGTTGGGGCAGGGAAGGCTAGGTGCGAGCGAACAAGCAGGACTGCTGCGGGCTGCAAGTTTGAGATCTCAATACGTCGTGCCGAACTGGCTGATGATGACGATGCTGATGATGAAGAGGTAGAAAAGGGGAACGTACGTTGGAATGTAACAGCTAGGCTGGCCCGCTGCCGCGACGCCGCCTCTCCTTTCGTATCCTGCCAGCGCTACTCATTATTTAGCTTGATGGGGTTCAAACTCTGTCCCTGAGGCCGCAACCGAAAGAGGAACACAGCTGAGAGCGGGGGAGGAAGATGAGGACGAGGAGGAGATCCGTCCTCGTCCTCGTCCTCGTCCTCGTCCTCGTCCTCGTCCTCGTCCTCCTCCTCCCTTCTCGGCATCTCCTCGGCGATCTCGTGGACGAGGAGGAGGAGGAGGAGGTCTGCGGGAGGACGAGCCCTCGGACTCTGGCGCCGTTGGGGGGAACGGGGGGGGGCGGGCAAAACACCCCTATTTCACGATGTGGGGCCACAACTGGGGCCAGCCACGATGGGTGGCCCACGATGGGCCACCGGCTTCCATGGCCAGGGGTCCCTCACCCTACAGACGAGCTGTTTAAGGGGAAACTGCAGGGCGCTTCTGCCCCGCGTCGGCTCCCTGGACCCGCCCCACCGGGGCTCGATGCGGCTGGAAGCACACTGGTGAAAGACAGGCTCGACAGCTCCAGGTCGTGTTTTGATCACGTCGTCGTGGTCTTGCATGTGCTCCAGTCGTCGGATGACTTGGGATGCGGGAGCGACTAGGCAAGACCTGGTGGAGGGAGGACTGGGCGGAGAGGGGAGGGGGGGAGAGAGGAGGGTGGAAAAGGGGTTAGCAGGGAGGGAGGAAGGAGGAAGCGGAGGGAAGAACATACCGTGGGAAATGATGGGGGGATGGAGAAGGCGGGAGGAGGAAGCGGAGGACGCAACGGGCGATGCATGGGAGAAAACCATGTCCGACGCCAGACACGATTCCTTCCATTGCCCTTCGAGAAGGCCTTGAAAACAATCACACTGCGCATGCCTCCTTCCTACCTTTCTCTCTGCTCCAACTTCTGGCTGTAGAGAGCACGAGTAGGTACAGGGGAGGAGGGTGCCGTCCTCGTCCATCTCCTCCTCCTCCTCATCATCCTCCTCCTGCTGCTCCTCCTCCTCCTCCTCCTCATCCTCCCATCTTGGCCTATCCTCGATGTGCTCGTGGAGGAGTAAGAGGGATACTGATCATCGAAAGAGCGCGTTTCATGGGCGCTTGCCTGGGGAACATTCGGCGGTGCGTTTCGACCTGGGGGGTGCCCCCCCCCCCAAACACTCGGCGTCGTCGATCAAAACCAGGGGGACTCCCCTCCCTTCCAACCCTCCCCCCTCCAGAATCCCCCCCCCTCCCCCCCCCTCCCAAGGGGGGGGGGGGTTCGACCCCCCCCACCCCTCGGCGCCGGCGCCGGCGCTGGCGGCCGCCAGCAGCGCCCACGGCGGGGACGCAACGACGATGACCAGAGGCAGCCCAGGCCCTCCTCGCGCCGGCGCCGGCGCTGGCGGCGGCCAGCAGACGGCGCTGGCGCCGGCGACGGCGGGGACGCAGCGACACTTACCACCACTACCACCGCCACCACCACTACCACCACACCACCACCACCACCGCCTCAACCCACCACCACCACCAACAGCACCACACAGCCACCACCACCACCACAGCCACCACCACCACAACCACCACCACAACTCACCACCGCCACCACCACCACAAAAACCCACCACCACTACCACCACAACCACCACAATTCACCACACCACCACCACCACCGCCACAACCACCAAAACTACCAGCAGCACAACCCACTACTACCACCACCACAGACCTCCATCACCACCACCACCACCACCACCACCACCACCACCACCACCACCACCACCACAAACCACCGTCGTCCCCGCCAACGCCGCCCGCCGCCGCAGGCGCCGGCGCCGGCCCAGAAATGGAAATCGTCGTCCCCGCCGCCGTCGCCAGCCGCCGCCGACACAAGCGCCGGCCCGATGAGAGGGGACGCAGAGGAGGGATGGGGGGGGGTCCGGTTTCATCCCCCCCTCCAAGCAACCACAAAGCGCGCTCTTTCTTATCATCTTAAACATACCCTCGGAACCTCTCATGACCCATGGCAGCATAGAAGGCCCTGCTCATATCCCTCCTCCAATGTCATGGCTCTGGAGGTCTCCGGAGGTCTCCCGATCACATGCGGGCCTCAAGAGTCCACACAGAAATCGAACATGAACGCGGGGAGGAAATAACAATTATCTGTTTCTCCTCCTGCTGCCACCTCCACAAGTACAATCAAACTGTGTATTAAGGACGGGTGGTAGGGATGCAAGACCCTTGGCGGCCGAAGTTCGGTTTTTTTTTGGCGGGCGAACAGTGAGAACGGCACAGGACGGGCCGCAGAGGCAAGGACACAAAAGTACCCTAGATGAAAGCGCGCGTCCTTACTAGGCACGTTGACAGTAAACAATAAAAAGTACTACTCTCCCTCCTCCCCTGAAATTCTGCTGAAGATCTCCTGCCCCATTCCGCGTGCTTGCTTCTTTTGCTATCACACAGGATGTCATCAATTTTGTGTTTGTGTTCGTACGTTCTTTTTCACAATCCGAATGTTGTCGGTGCTTGACAGTCGTGCTTCGGTTGTAGGTTGGGCCTCATTTTCGGATCGGCGCTTTGCTCCCGTCGTTCAGAATGGCGCTCTCGCCCCGGCGCAGGCCACTTTTCTGGATCCGAATCTTGCTTCATTGTCGCCCCCCTTCGATTTCCCTCCTCCGCCTTCCCCTGGTCCTCTTGATCCTGCCGTTCGTTCCACTCCAGTTCCTGCTGCTGCTGTTCGTATCGCCCCAGCGCGGGCCACTTCTCTGAATCCGACTGTGGTTATCGCCCCCCTCATTTCCCCTCCTCCACCTTCCCCTGGTCCTCCTTTTCCTCCCGATCCTTCCGCTCAAGTTCCTGCTGCTGCTGATCGTCCTCATCCTTTTTCCTCCCGCGCTCACCCGCCACCTCCCCCTCCTGTGCATCCAGCTAATTACCCTTTTCCCGATTGCGCAGAACACGAAGTGGCGCGTCCGCGGATGAAAAATCAACGCCATCGGAAGGGACGAGAGGCAGGGATAGGATGTCAGATGAGGCATGAGCGCACCTAGCTTGATCCCTCCCTTTCTTCCTCACCAACTACCCCGCGGCTTGATTATTATCGAGAAGGGCTACTGGGCCTCTCAAGCATTTTCTCGGAGCCGGTTTGTCTTCCTGAATCGTTTCAAGGCAGCACAACCATGTACATAACTTCGCGATGTTTCAAATTCGAGCAGCCAGAAGTCGAGATCTGTGTCGCTCCCTAGGAGAAATCCTGGAGGTCTCTCGAAGCCGCCTGAAGCTCCAACGGGACATTCGAAACGCCGAACAATCTAAAGACACGCCTCCTTATCGCACTCCCCCTCCCTCTCGGCGCCTTCTCGGAAGGATCTGAATGGTTGTTGCTATCCTGGGGGCCTGGAAGCGGCGCCCCGATGCAACACAAAAAATGTAGGATTGCCGGAACCGCTGGATGTCTGGGTCCGGATCACCTAGAGCTGACGAGACCCATGCGATGCCATCTCTGGGAATGCGCCCTCATACCAGCACTGTAATCATTGGATGCTGGTGCTGGGTTAGGGATATGCTTCAGAATAGCAAGGAGCCCCCCTCCCGGGGAGGTCAGAGAAGGAACTCCTGAAGGACGGCCTTGACCACCCGGGAGCCCCTCATGTTCAGGCCGAAGGCGAGAGCGTCGCCCAGGAAGGCGTCGGAGGAACAGTGGGGCACGAAAACCTTCGACGAAAGCTGGTATTAGGACGGTGGCCTGCCTCCGAAGAGGCAAGTCGACCTTCGACGTCGACGAAGACGACGAGGACGTCGCCGCGATAGAGGTGACGACGACGACGACGACCCAGACTTCCAGAGTCTCGGGAAGGCAACCTGAGGTGTTTGTGTAATCTCACCCCCTGTGAGCAGTCCTCGGGCCCCCCTGACCATCAGCCAAACGATGAGGGATCGACGAATGGTCCGAGGGAAAGAGCCGAGAGGACCAGGACGCTTTTAACGTCGCAGAGCGGCAGAGGTGATCCGCATGCGCGCTCTCACTGGCCTGGAGTGGGCGAACTCACTATCCAGCTGCAAGTGGGGAAGGACCAAGACACATGGACTCTAATCGTCGGATCTCTGGGCACGCCAGCGACGGCGGCGGCGCCGCTGCTTCGGAGGGCTTGGGGGCGCTTCTCTGCAAGAGCTTCTCGTCGCCACGGCCTGGCGACAAAGACTTCTGGCGACGACGGCGGCGGCGTCCCCAGACACCTAAGAACATAATGCTGTTGAACATTGGCATTTTCTTTCAACATCCATTTCCCTCTCCGAAGCGCCCAGGGCGAATAATTAAGAACGAGATGAACCCGCCTCCCCTCAGGGGCGCTTTGAACGAAGCAGCGCCAGGGAGTACTCACTTTAGAACATCTTGCAGTTGCCTGAGCCATGCGAGCACGGTGCCTGTACCAACCGCTGGAAGGAGATATCTCCCCCCACTCAAGCGATGCTAGTCCCCCCGAACAATGCAACTGCCAGCTGCTGCCACGACTGCGAAGAGGAACCTTCGAATCATGAGATAATGTGCAATTTTTCTTGGAGGAGCAGGTTATGGAAGCGGACAGCAATAATTTACACCACACATGTACGTCGCAAGACTGTCCTGCGAACGTGGCCGAAACTCCAGCCAAATCCTCGCCACGAGAACGGTGTTGTTTGAAGTCGGCGCCAGTTGTGGTGGACAAGTCCTGCCCCGCTTGAACGGACAGACGCAAGCAACAACAACTACTTGTGACAATTATTGCCCGGGAGAGCGGTCGAGGAGGAAGAGGAGGAAATACAGGGACAAGGACATCCGCACAAAAGGGGGTCAACGTCAACACCTACGAAGGAGCTGTGCGTGCAAGGCGAAGAATACGAATTAACCCTACAACGTATCATCCCCGGGTCTGCCAAACTGTTGTGCGACCGGCCCGTATTGAGCGGCCTCGACGGCCAAACAATATCTTCGCCACTGCAGGAGAAAAGGAGGGAGCAGGAACAGACGAAGAGGGGGAGACATTGCTGAGTGAACCGTCGTGGCATCAATCTGGCTCCGCGCTCTTGGCGGGCATGGCGAAATCAGCAATCTACTAGCTTCAGGCGTCGAGGGCACTACGCCTGCTATTAGCCGCCCGCGCTGTATATCACGCGCCGGGCCGGAAGGCGCCAAGGTGGCCCCACCACGTGTACCCTGTGCAAGATTGCGAAGAGAAGCCAAGCGAACCACGCGAAGTGAGGAGGGGGAGAAACAAACCATGACAGTGGTTGGGCAAATTGGAACCAGCCTCTGGTTGCCCGCGCGCCCCGCGAAGCGAAGGCCCTCGCCATCAGCTGTAGACTTCGGGTGGCGCCGCGTGGCCTCGCGGAGATGGCCACGGAAGGCGTTCGCTGCCTCCGCCCGCCCGAAGTCCGTTGCGGACCTGCGCGTGCGTCATGTGCAGAGCGTAGATAGACATAGCCATGAGGGCGCTGCTCCCCGTCTCCGTCAGCGACGGGTTGCCTCGCGATGACGTCGAGGACCGGCCGATGCCGACGAGGTCCTCCAGAGCGTGCTCCACGCTCCATGGACGGGCGCTGGAGGCCCAAGTGCAGCGAGCAGCAGTCATGGTAGGAACGGCAAAACGCGTAATGCCAATTCGCGTCCTCCCCGGTGCAGCCCATGCCGCACGAAGAGCGACCCTGGAATCGACGTGCGGTCGCCCAGCCATCGCAGGCAGTGCGCACTGCTGCACTCATGACCCTCGGCGCGACGAAGTCCGAGACGGTCTGGGTGACGCGGAGCCATCGCGATGTCTGGTGACCGGGTAGTGTTCGGATTTGCCGTCGTTTTAGCTGGCTTCAGATATGTGCCAAGACTGCGGTGGTGTAGTCTGGCCGGATAAGACGTGCAACTCTGGCCTGCAAGCCCGTCCACGAATTGCGTGGGTGCTGGATGTCAAGTAGGACGCGCTCCCCCCCGGCCGCCTCGCTCACGCGGATGACGGCGCTCTCCAATTAGAAGAGGAAGTTGCTCTGGCACCGCGCGTGCACATCGGCGGCGCGGGCTGCAGCGTCGTTGGCGGCCGTGGCGAGACTCCGAAGATCCTTCGCCGTGCGCGAAACCTGAAGCCGACCGTTCTTGCAATTCTCGTGCAGGGCCACTCGCGCGCGAACCGCAGTGGATGAGGAGTGGGCGTCGAACAACTCGTGGGAGAACCCGGACAGCGTGAGGCTTTGAAGAGCTCAAAAGAAACCCGATCCCTAGGCCCGACAACCAGATGCCGCATCCCCGCGAAGTTCGGCGGGGGCGGGTCGAGCTGCGCGCAAAACATCAACAGCGGCGCCGCGTAAGTCCGATACGCCTCGACCGCGTTCGGCATGCCCGCGTGCAGGGGGTCGCCCAATCCCCGCGCGTCCTGGTGCTTCCTGATGGCCGCGCCCAACGTGCGCTGCCCTCTCCCCGGCCCAATAAATTGCCCGAGGTATTTTGCACTGAGCGCGACCTCCATCGCTCCCTGTAGCGGGGTTGTCTCGGCCAGGCGCTCGCGAGCCTCCGGGAAAGTCATGGGGGGGGGGGGGGCGTCTTGCGGAGGTCCAGGGCGAGCTCTGCGACGCGCTCGAAGTCGGTGGAGATGCTTTCCGCCGCCGGTAAGCAGGCTCATATGTCCGCGATTGAAAGGCGCGAGGTCTTCCGCGTTGCCTCGTGGGGCGCCTCCCTGGGGTAGGCGCGCGATCCCGCAGATGAGAATGTCGATCGCGGCAGCGAACGGGGGCGGCGACAATGGGCAGCCTTCCTGGGCCCCCCCCGCGACGTCGAAGCAATGCTGTTGGGTTCGGTTCTCCCATGGTGATCGCGCGAAAGTTTTCGGCATGCACGGCGGCGATGTAGCCTCTCAGCCGCGCCGGCCACGACGTGGGCGCGCGCTCGATGGGCGGGGGCGCCGCCGCGAGGTCGAACGGCAGGGCCCCCCCGTTGAGCTGCTAGGCGCTGCTCGGAGCATCGCCTCCTCCATGTCCACAAGATTGGCAAGCGTGGGCCGGCCGCCGAAGCAACCTCGTTGAATCTCCAGAATGCCCCGGCTGACCGCCGTCTCCAGCGGCGGGGCGGACTTCGCCCAAGAAGGATCGATTGTCCGTGTTCGCCACGCTCAAGGACAGGGTCTCCGCAGGCGTCAACTAGCCCTCTCCAGTCGGTAGAGTGCCAGCGGGCTTTCTGGGGGTGAGGAAGAGTGCGCTGGCGTTGTGCTCCTTGGCTTCCTCCGTCCGTGGATGTTGTGCGCCGCGTTGAACAAGGGGGGCGCTGAGACCTTGCAGCGCCGGCGCCGAGCCAGAAAATGGACTTCGTCGGGCCCGGGGCCGCGTTGCTCGAGGTCTTGTGGGCGCGGGCAATGTGCGACTTCCGGAGGCGCGCCCTGGCTGGCCGCGCGCATGCCAAGTCCGCGAGAGGTCTGGCGTCTGCGTCGTCCGCCAGCCACTGGTCCTGCGACACCTCGTTGATGCCCTGCGCCTGGAAGGTCTGGGACCAATCTGCGCCCAGGGAGCGATGCGTCTGTAGCCACCTCACTTCATCGTCGTCCTCGAAGATGGCGTTCAGCGCGCTGGCCCGGCCAGGGGCGAGACGAAAAATCAGGCGGTTGTTTTTCGCTGACGTGCAGCCTGTGCTTTCAGAGCGCCCTCGCCAGTAGGTCGGCCCAGGAGCTCCGAAGCTCCTCCACGGCGTGGCCCTGGACGACTTGCACAGCGCATTGGCGTTGTCGCGATAGCTTCTGGGGCAAGTAGCCGTCGAGGTCGCATGGCTTCGCGACGCGGTGCCGGATATCGCGAAACCTGGTGAGGCATTTGGCAACTCCGAAGGCCGACCGCCCTCGATCGCCCGGATGGTTTTCAGGGCAGCTTGTCTTCCGCGTCCTGTGCAGCAGGGATGGTCTTGAAGTCGTTTGCCAGCCTGCGCGCGACCCGGCGAGTCGACGACTCATGCAAAGCGAGCTGCTGAAACGGCGGAGCTACGGGGTTGTCCTTCAGCGCCTCGTTGAACACCGACGGCAAACGCCTCGGGAAATCCTTGTGCACGCGTGCTCGTTGTGCGAGGGGGCGGTGCGTCTGGGTCGTCTGTCCGGGCAGGCGCGAGACGTGCAGCGCGAAAGGCGCGATCGCGGGATAGGCCCATGCGCCATTCAAGGGCCGCGGCCGCGATGCGGCGGTCCAGCTGCCCGGCCACGTCGCGGTCGAGGTGCGCGTCTGGTCCAGCTGCGAACGGGCTGTGGCCGAGGAGTGGGTGAAGCCCCCTTGGAACATCTCGCGCAAGCCATGTCCCGACGCCACCGCGGCCTGGAAAATAGCTTCATCCCGGCCATCCCGGCGACCGGAATCCGCGGCTGTCGCCGACGAGACTCTACCCGCGTCCTCCGCCGCGCAATTGAAGTCCCCTCCGCGGGGTCAGGCAACAACTCCTGTCCTTCGCGTTCTTCGCAATCAACTGCCGCGTGCGCGCGTGGCCGGGAAATTGGTCAAGCCGGCGCGGCTTCTGCGCGGGGTGCCTGCTGGGTCGGTTTCGGACAGGTTGGCGCAAGAGCCGGATGGGAAATGAGCCGCAACCAAATCCAATGCCACCTGAGAGCCGCGGAGGCATAGCTTGGCGGGGCGGCCCCGCCGCGCGCGGCGCATGCGCGGCGGCTGCTCGAAGTCGTGGAGAAAATCGCCCTCGATCGCAGAACCAGCGCCTGAGTGGCTAG